GCGAGCGATTTGTTGTGATCTTCGATCTGATAATTTTGTAAACATTTAATAATAATTTTTTTTTCTATTCACACTTCAACTTACATAAATATTTTTGCGTTTACACACTTTATTTTATTGATATTTTAATACAATTTAAAAAATTCAGAGAAATGTGCTTAGAGAAGAAGTATGGGTATAAAATTAAGGAGAAAATGTAGAATTTAAACATATTCAAGTTTCTAGTGCAGAAGTGCTGGTAAATATTGAAAATGTCATTTTAAAATTTTATCCTTGAAATTTCGCAATATTTGTTCGAATTTCGTTTTTCTAACTTTGTCGGCTTAAAAATTACCTATTCGTCCTGGTGAATCCAAACAATTTACATTTTTTAAATTCTAAAGAAATTTCCTATTGCATTTGTTACCCATATTTTTATTCGACTTTGTATTGAATTTTTTAATAATTCTTGGAACTAATCATAATTCTTGAAATCACAAAGTCCTTCAAAAGGTCAGGGAGAAAAAATAAAAACTCCACTTTAGATAAAAATAGGTTTCAAACCATGGTACAATAATTACAGGTATTGTCTTCCTAGAGAGTATTGCTTCCCATCGAAATTCGTGCACCCTTATTTTCATTATGACGCAGTTCAATGTTGATTCTTTTACTTTTTGTTGTTGTTGTTGTTGTTGCAGCAGCATACAAAATCCCCAAAGAGTTTTTGGGGGTGTTGCTGGAGTGACAGTCCTTGGCCAAATATAAATCTGGGTCGTTCCGGTTACGTAGGCCCGACTGTCGTGTCGTACTTTTATTTGGCTTTGATTTTTGTTTTCGCTCAATTTACAGGCAAATGTTTTTTTTTCCGGCTTTTGCAAATTGAATAAGTTCTCTGTAAGATGGTTTGTTAAAAAATACGTTGTTGTTGTTGTTGTTGTTGTTGTTGTTGTAGCGGCTACTAAGCCCCGTTCGGGTCGGTTCATCCTTTAGCGTTGTCGTCGATTTCAGCTAGGGGGAGTCCCAGGAAGTGTGCGACTTCCACAGGAGCTGTCCATAGGGCCAGGGGCGTCAGCTGAGTGGGGTTCTCAGGGCATGTGAAGAGGTGCCGGGAGTCATGTGGCGACTCTCCACATGCCGGGCATTGGTTGGGCACATCCTCGTTGATTCTGCTTAGGTACCAGTTTAGCCTGCTGCAATAGTCAGAGCGAAGTTGGGTTATTGTAGTGCGGGTCTCCCGAGGTATACAAAGTTCTGTCCCGTCCACGTCCGGAGGTTGTCACCCCTATTGCGAATGTCGACTGGCAGTAGATAAACGACTATTAAGCGATTATCGATTATCGATGCTATTGCGAGTGTCGCTTAGTCGCTCAATTAGCGACTGTGAATACTTTTTAATCGCTCATCCTTCTATTGCTGTTTTTTAGTCGTTGGAGTTTGCGTTTATAAAATTTACATAAGAAAGTGGTACTATACTGGATAAAAAGTAAGTCAATTGAACTGGAAGTTGTAAAAAATTGTGAAATATACATATGCATGTATGTGTCTGAATTACAGATCAAAAATTATAAGCAACAAAAGGCAACTTGCGCGGTTGGTCGTACTGATGCAGGAGAGTGAAGACATAGGCAAAGGAATTTCCGGAAAGAGTAGGGTAGGAAGCTCCGCTTTTATTGGAAAAGATACATATACAATATTTCTTGTGTTTTTGCGCAGAACCAACATCAAAAGTTTATACAAAAAAACTGCATAATTTATTAATTGATTAGGGCTCGGAAATTTGAAATCTTTATTTTAAATTAAAGTTGAATTCTTTCAATACACTTGTTATGTTGTTATGTTAAAGTTTTTAAACTCGGGTCACGCATTTGGACACAAAAACCCAACATCATTGTACAAAAAACTTAACCGTACCGTATTTCTTAAACTTCCATAAAGTTTATTAATGAGGAAAACAGCTTTTCCTGCAAATCATGTAAAGCCTAAAAACCGTGAATCATCGGGAACGCAACTTTTGTTCATAAAACTCACACATGTACTTACACCTTCCAAGTCCAAGGGATCCGACGAATCTCGCAATTCCCTCCTTGCTTTAGCCAACTCTACTAATCTATTAGATTCCGCATCATCTTCCTCATCACTAAACCATATTTCAACTGTGTCCATTTTTTAAATTTAATAATAAAAGCAATTATTTTAAAAATGATGTAAATAAAACACTCAAGAAACAAATGTAAACAAACAAACAGCTGTTTACAATTCTGTCAACCATTCACAATAGTACAAATTTTTATCGATCAAGTTACACAATAGCAAAATAAAAGATGATCGACTCGATCGACAAATTTCTATTCTACTGCCAGTCGACACTCGCAATAGGGGTGTGTGTGCCTAGGACGGCACTCACAGGGCGGGAGTCTACATAACCTGAGACTGATTCCCTGTGAATGCCGTTCAGGGCCTGTCGGTAGGTTGACGGGTCCAGAGGTTGTTTGATGAACCTCTGGACTTTGTCCGTCAGTTCGTTGTTGTTGTTGTTGTTGTTGTTGTAGCGGCTACAACAACCCCGCCCAGATATGCCGATATCTCAGTCGTTGTCGCCAAGTTCCACTAACGGCAGCCCCAAAAAGCGTGCAGCCTCTATGGGGTCGGTCCATAGGGACGGCCCGTTAGGGTTGTGGGGTTTTCGGGGCATGCGAAGAGATGTTTCGAGTTGAGGGGTCTCTCCGCATGCCGGACATTCGTTCGGCACATCGGCATTTAACCTACTCAGGTAGGAGTTTAGCTAACCAGAGCGAAGTTGGGCTTTTGTCGTGGTCTCCCGAGGCAGATGGAGCTCCGTCGCGTCGATGCCCGGTGTTTGTGTGCCTAGAACGGCATTCACAGGTCTTGAGTCTACATAACTCGAGACTGCGTCCCTGTGAATGCCGTTCAGGGCTTGTCTGTGAGCTGACTTGTCCAGAGGTTGCTTAATGAACCTATGGACTTCGTCCGTCAGTTCATATAGATGCCTCCAGACGTGCCTCGGCGAGTGCTCCTCTGCAAGCAGCTGTCTATTTGGGTGGCCACATCTGTGGCTCCCAGCAAGAAACTGCTTGCAGAGTATCGTGTTGTGCTCCCTAATTGGGAGCATTTGCTCCTCATCGTGGAGGTGGTGTTCTGATGACATCAGGAGGCATCCGGTCGCTGTCCTAAGTGCTGTATTTTGTACCGTCTGTAACTTCGTCCACTGCGTCCTACTAGTCCCCGGCGACCACACTGTTGCTGCGTAGTTTAAAACCGGCCGGCCTATTGCCTTGTATGTTGCCAGCAACGTTTCTTTGTCTTTGCCCCAAGTACTGCCGGCTAGCGACTTGAGGACTTTGTTGCGGCTCTGTACTTTATTGACAATAGCGGTTGCGTGCGCAGAGAAGGAGAGCACACTGTCGAATGTTACTCCGAGAATTTTAGAATTATTCACTGTCGGAATTGGTGTGTCATCGACGTGAATTCCTAGCGGTAGCCTGACGTTCTTCATCCAGGTTGTGAAAAGGGTCGCAGAAAATTTCGTAGGGGAAAGGGCTAGACACTTTGCAGTGAAGAAGCTAGAAAGTTCAGAGAGATATCCGTTTACTTTCGAACACAGGTAATCAATTCCATTCCCAGTCGCCACGGTCGAGCAATCGTCGGCGTAAGAGACAATCGAGACTCCCTCTGGTGGTTGAGGGAGCTTTGAAATTTAAAAGTTAAACAGTTGTGGGGAAAGGACACCACCCTGTGGAACCCCCGGTTTTATTTTCCTAAATTTGCTCGGTTTGTCTCTAAACATTACCGAAGCATCTATATCTTCTAGTAGCGTGTAATGGCTGACAGTTGCAAAAGCCTTTGACAGGTCCAACGCTACTAGAATCGTTCTCTCACAGGGACGTTTACGGTAAAGGCCACGAGTAATCTGAGTTTATGGCGTTAAGTGCTGTTGTTGTACTGTGCACTTTACGAAATCATGCTTATGCTTTGCTGGGGTCAAGTGGTTTGTGAAATACGGGAGTAGCAAGGCCTCGAGTGTCTTCGCTACCGGGGAAAGGAGTGTTATTGGACGATAAGAATCTCCTATGTTGGCGGGTTTCCCCGGTTTGAGCAGTGGGACCACTCTCCACACCTTCCAGATGTCTGGGATGCTGAGAGTGGCCATGGACGAATTGAGGACCTCCGTTAGGTACGCTACCCCGCAGGACCCAAATTTTTCAGCATCAGCATGTATATTCCGTCGGGAACCAATGCCTTTGGAGGCTTTCGCCTTCCCGATGATCACCTGAACTTCACCGCAAATGTAAGCAAGGGGGGCACAAGTTGTTGGCAGTTTGTGCAGCCTTCTGGTCACTCGACGCTTGGCTTTGTCCACCAGAGGATGCAGTATGAACTGCCGGCTAAAATAGCTCGCGCATCGCTCCGGGTCCGACGAAGCATGGTCGCCGAAAGAAATTTCGACTCTGTCGTCGTGCTTCGTAGGATTGGACAGTGACGTCACGGTTGACCAAACCTTACTCACACCAGAGGTGAAGTTGCAGGTCTTTAGATGCTCTTCCCACTTCTTCCGCTTATGTACGTTTACTAGTTGCCGAATCTCCGCGTTGAGATCCCTGATACGGGGATCTCCGGGATCGGCCTGACGAAGGCTGTCGATAAATAGATAATTAATAGAGGCATGCACTGCGACCAGCAGGTCTATTGTGCCCTCAACCATTTACAGTACCTCATCTAATCCTAGAGAGTCCAAAAATTTGAGGAGATCCCCAGGGATTAGCTATTGTATTGCTTCGTTACTTGGCCAGTAGTGGCCCAGGTGCCTCTCCCGTCTTCTCGCGACCGCCACACATTCGCCAAGCAGGTGCACGGGAGTCTCCTCGGTCACGTCGCAGAAACGACATAGGTCATTTGACCAAATCCCTAGCTTGTGTAGGTGGCCTCTCAGTCTGCAGTGACCCGTCAGAAAACCTGTTATAATCCTTAGTTTTCCTTTCGATATATTGATAATTGCCCTGTACCTCGTGAGGTTGTAGCCTCCCAGTAGTTGTTTTGCTTGACGTAAACCTGTAGTGTTACGCCAGTGTTGATTCTTTGTATGTTCCTTTCTTTCCTGAGCTCCTCCTTGATTGTACTAGGTCCAATCGCTAGGAAGGGCTCAGGCCCTATAGGCGCCGAGGCGGCCGCCATTCTAGCTAGTCGGTCCGCTTCTTCGTTGCCCGCAACTCCTATGTGTCCTGGTACCCAAGTTAATTGGATTTCGTTGTACTCCGCCAGGCTGTTGAGCCTATCTATGCACTCAGGATGAATTGGCCTTGAGTGCCGCCTGGCTGTCACTCAATATTAAAATTCTCTCATTACGATAGTTCCTACGTAGGTTAATCTCTGCACACAGACTGATGGCATAGACCTCCGCCTGGAAGATACTCGGGTATGCCCCCATAGGTACCGAGAGCTGTAGCCTCGGCCCGTAGACGCCAGCCCCAATGCCTTCCGGAGTCTTCGAGCCGTCTGTGTACCATTGCAACGAGCTCGATTGGATCAGCCTCTCCATGAGAGAGGAGCTCCAGGTCGCCTTGGTGCAAAGCTCTATTTTGAAATTCCTGTCAAAGTTAACCACCTTAGGCCTGTCGTCTCTGGGGAGTAAAGCAAGCGGAACTTGGGAGCCGAGCTTGTCTCTGTTCCTTAATGATATGGTTCTGCCCCTGCCAAAGCCTTCCCTCGCGAAATTTAGTAGAGTTCGCTTTGCAGCCTGTTCTATGGTAAGGTGCAGCGGCTCGAGCTCGAGAATCGCCTCCAGCGCTGCCGTCGGACATGTGCGCATTGCCCCCGTAATGCATACACATGCCAGTCATTGAAGCTTGGTGAGGGATTGCCTCACCGTGGTGAGGGTGGTTCTCGGGGCCCAAGCCACTGCTCCATAGGTGACTATTGGTCTAACTATCATGGTATACATCCATCTCAGAATCCTGGGACTGCAGCTCCAGGTCTTCCCTGCCAGGCGTTTGCATACCATTAGTGCCCTCGTAGCTTTGGAAATGACCGCGTCAACATGTGCCTTCCACAGAAGTTTAGAATCCAGGGTTAGTCCTAGATATTTAACTTCGGTGGCGACGTTGATGGCGACCCCATTCAAAGAAATGTTCCTCATGCCTGGAAGCGTTCTTCTTCTAGTGAAAGGGACAATAACCGTTTTAGAGGGGTTGATGCTGAGGCCCAAGTCCACGCACCAGCCTCTTGCCAGGTTTAGTCCCCTTTGCACTATATCACAGAGAGTGCTCACGAACTTTCCTCTGGCGATAATCACGATGTCATCCGCATAGCCTTGACAGCGGATGCCATTGCCCGTGAGAATCCGTAGAAGTTCGTCCACAACTAGGCTCCACAGGAGACTCCTCCCTGCGGGCAACCTTTTGTAGTTTTTAGCTGTACCACGCTGTCCCCGATGTCGGTTTCAGCGATTCTTGAATTTAGTAGCCTGGCTATCCACCTGCGGATCGTTGCCTGCACATTGCGTTTTTCAAGTGCCCGGTCGACACTAATATGAGAGGTGTTATCAAACGCCCCCTCAATGTCGATGAAGGCACAGAGTACTGTTTCCCCACACTCAAATGCATCTTGTACTTCCGTTGACAAGGTGTACAGTGCGGTGTCCGTAGACCTGCCCACTCTGTAGGCATGTTGGTCGGGGTGTAAAGGCACCTGTTTAAGGGTGCTGTTCCTGATTTCATGGTCGATCACCTTCTCCATCGCCTTAAGCAGGAAGGAGGTAAGGCTTATCGGCCTGAAGGACTTAGCTAGAGAATAATCTCTCTTTCCTATCTTCGGGATAAAAATAACCCGAGCCCTTTGCCACACCTAAGGGATGTGAGCGAGCGCTAGGCTAGCCCTCATGATGTCCACGAGGTGTGGAAGTAGGAGCTCCTTGCCTTGCTTCAGCAACACTGGACTGATGCCATCCACCCCCGGGGATTTACACCGGTCGAAGGAGTCCACCGCCCAGCAGACTGATCGGTGGGTAAATAGACTCCTAGCCAGCTTCCAGTCCACCGGGGACGGCCGGGTCCGTCGGCACGGTGCCTCCCCCGAAGTGGGAGTGGCATCCGGGAAATGGGCCGAAAGCAGGGCAAGTGCCCTTTCCTCTTCGTTGGCTGAGTACGTGCCATTGGCTAGCTGGATTGCTAGTCTGGTATCTGTATGGTCCCTTGCCAAGGCCTTGTGCAGCCTCGCAGCTGAAGGAGTCAATGAGATGCCCTCACAGAACTTCCTGAAACTGTCGCGTTTAGCCCTCCTGATTTCTTTACTGTAATTAGTTAGACTTGCTGAATACTCAGCCCAGCGCCCTGTGCGCTTTGCTCTATTAAATAGTTTGCGTACCTCCTTTCTGAGCACCGATATCTTCCGAGACCACCAGTTGGGCTGCGCCTTCCCTCCTGGTTTTGTCTCCGGGCAGCTTGAGTGAAAGGCATCTACAATAGCGCCATTTAACTCATTGACGGTGCTCTCTAGGCTCATGCAGTTAGTGTACCTATTCCTGGACTTAATTCTAGTTAGGTTTGACTCTAAAGTCTCACTGCACTTTGTCCAGTCAGTTTTCCTGGGGTTCCTGTTTGCCTGCCTAGTTTTGACTTCTACTCCCAGTGCAAACTGGATAATCCTATGGTCTGACAGTGAGGGCTCCGATGAGACCCCCCACTGGGTGACCAGAGGGCTAGCCAGTCTGTTGCTAAGCGTGATGTCTAGTACCTCCTCTCTAGCCCTCGTTAGAAATGTCGGTGTTTGGCCAACATTGTGGATGCTTAGTTCCTCACTTAAGATGTACTCTAGGAGACACTCACCTCTGCGGTTTGTATCCGTGCTGCCCCACTCAACGTTGTGGGCATTCGCATCGCACCCTATGATGAGGTGGAGCCGTCTCTTTCTGCAGAATTCCACTAGCTGCTGTACCTCTTGCGGAGGGGCGTAGTTGCTGTCCCCCGAGAAATAAGCCGCGGCAAACACCACCTCTAGGCTTCTGCCACTTAACGAGAGCGTCGTCTGCACTGCGACCAAGTCCTGTGTTAGAAACTCTGTAATGCAAAAGTAATCAATGTTCTTCTTAAGCACCACACATGCTCTGGGCCTCTCGCAGGAGAGGTCCCAAATTACCTTGTTGTTGTTGTGGTTGAAGCCCCTAACCTGGCCTCTGTAGGTCCACGGCTCTTGGATCAGTAGAATGCCCAGGTCATCCGTGGCGAACCTGCTGGAGATGACCGCCGAAGCAGCCACCGCATGATGCAGGTAGACCTGGGCTACTGCCAAGTGACGCGTGGTCATAGTTGGGGCTCGACGAGATCGGAGAGCTGTAATTCGCTCTCGCTTCTCCTATCGAGCTCAAGTCGCCTAAAGTCGATGCCTGATAGCAACTCCTGCGTGGATGACACGTCTTCCGCTGGCTTGGTGGTGGTGGCTGGCTCGGACGTGCTTGCTGGAGTTGGTGTCTGGGTGAGGGGTAGCTGACTGAGGGGTGGCTGTGCGAGGGGTGGCTGTTCCGCCGGTGAGGTCGAGGTTGACTGGGTCGCCTGGGTCGCCTGGGCAGCGGAGGAGTCGGCAGCTGCCTCGATTGGGGTCTCCTGCGACTCCGACTCCTTCCTACCTGTCGCCATTTGTCGCCACGGCCTCACCGTGACGAAACTGAACCTATAATTTAGGTTGAAGCAAGCCCTCTTGATGCTGACGTAAGATTCCTCATCTATGCCCAGAAATAGTCTGAGCCCGTTCTCCTCTACGGAGCTGGACACTACCTTCCACGCAGAGATGTGGATGCCCTCATTCTGCGCTTTTAGTAGCCCCAACGCAAACTCCGCCGACTTGTCGGTGCTCCTTGGCAGGAACACCGTGATGTTATGCACTGGAGGGATGTCATCCCCCCTCTTCGTGCACATCTCGGGTCCCTTCCAGCCCTCAAGTGCCGGTGCTTTCTTCACCAGCCAGGTTGCTGTTCTCTCGTCCCTGCAGTCCACCAGGAGCATGCCGGATCTGAAGTACACACCACAGAACACCAGCGGGTCGACCATCCTTTGAAAACCTCTTCCATAATGGCATCCTGGAGTCTGGTTAGGTCTTCCGAGCTCAGGGCAGCAGCAGGGTACTCACAAGGCAGCACCGCTACCCGAATGCTCTTGAGGGCTTCCGAATAGCTGGGTTGCTGAGTGGAACCCCCCTGCGCCTGTCCCTGCTTGATCGGCCCGCCCAGGCTCCTAGACCATGAGTTCGGAGGGGATGGCTGCTCCCGCTGCCGTTTGGTGCCCGGTGTCTCTGGCGGAGTGACCTGGTTGCTACCTCTTTTGTTGGAGCCTGTTGGTTCCTCGCTTCTCCGCTTTTCAGCGGGCGCGGGTCTGTGCTGCTGTTGGCGCTGTGGCCCGCTCTTCTGCTTTTCAGCAGGTGCGGGTAAGTGTTCCTGTTTGTTGGGCCCGCTCTTCCACCTATCGGCGGGTGCGGGTTTGTCGCCTTTCCTGTGTCTTTCACGTCCCTCATTCTCAATCTCCATTCTGACCTCTGCCATGGCTCTGGCTTCAAGGGTTTGCCTCGCCCGAGGTACCGGAGGTACCATTTAACCCTGGAACCGCTTAAGCCCTCGCGAAGCCGATCGTCTAGGGACCCCGGTTGACCTGGCTGCGGCATCGGAGGAGGCTTGGCCCTGCGGTGCTTCCTACTCCTTTGCTTCTGCCACCCGGAGTCGTCGGACGCTGCTGAGGCGCTTCTGGTGTACGACTTATGGAGTCTCTCCTTCTCCGCCCGGTGACCGCTTTCGGAGCGGCGCCGGCTCTTGGAGCGCTGCCGGCTCTCTGAGCGGTGTCGACTCGCAGAGCGACGCCGACTACCCTAGCGATGCCGGTTCTTGGAGCGGTGACTACCATCGGTGCGGTGGCTGCTGTCTGACCTTGCTGTCTCTCTGTACCTGCAATGAGAACTGCCGGACCGGTGTTGCGGCCGATGTGGTTCGGCAGGTAAATTGTGATTTCCTGTTAAATTTCTGTTATTAGAACTACCTGTTTTGCTCTGGCCCATGCGACGTAGCGCATCTGCACTGGTTCCTGGTTGGTCATCGTCCCTTGCATGTTCGATGAACAGCGCTGCCTCCTCGGCGGTTAGCTGGTCTAGGAAACTGCCTTTCCGACCAGCACTTCTTGGGCCTTCCCACGCGCTGCTGTTTCTTGGCGTCTCCAGTACCTTAGTTGTGCCTGTTGCAGTTGCACCTACCGCATTTGAAGCCGCAGGTGTTGTTGCTGTACTAGCTGTTGTTGTGGCTGTCGAATTTTGTGTTCTTTTGGTTGTTTTTTTGTTGTTTTGTCATCATCTTGTTCGTACGACCACCTGCTCGACGAAGCGAGCTCAGTGGTCTAAATTTTTGTAGGGGATCTCCAAAAGTTCGCCGCGCCAGCGCCCCTTGTCGCGGTAAGGCCACCGTTACTCCCCGATGCGGCCCGGTGTCGGAAAGGCGCCGTTCAAATACAGCCGGTTTATACCCTCCTGGCTGCAAACCGTCCAATAGGCACGGTGTCGCTTAACACCCTGGATTAGGAGGCGGCAGTTCTTGGTCATTGTTCTCCAGCAGCCCAAGTCTAGAGAGAAGGTAGCGCGGAGGTCTGCACATCCGCGTTACCTCAAACCAGAAGAGGGCTGGTTGGTGATGCAGCTAAGCCCCCGCACCAACGACAAGGAGCCTGCCCTAGCGAGGGGACGAAGGCTGTCACGCTCATCGGCTAGAACAGCCGCTTCCGCAGGGAAATTTGGGCGTGGGTCGGTGATGCATCCTGCCGGTACGAAGCGGGCTGCAGCAGCGGTTACAGCTCTGCGGAACTTACGTTCACCAAGGTGGACGTCGGTTGGTGTGGGGAGGGCAGCGAAGGTGTTTTCAGTAAATTCCGCGAAGCCTTTCCAATCAGCTTTTGAAAGGTTGATGTAGGTTCGGTGCTC